TAAAGTTAACTAATTTAACTTATTAATTAGTTAATTTCCATTTAACTAATATTGTTAAATATCATTAATTCACAATAATATATAATTCACACTTAACTAATAAAGTTTGAATCCTAACTTAAATCACTACAAATCCTAAATTATGCATTAACAATAATTAACTAATAAACAAATTAAACTTAATCATCATCATTGGTTATAAACCCATTTCAATTAACTAATATTTAAATCTAACTAATATTATCAACTCAAATTCTAAACCCATTTCCTCAATGTTTTAACTTAGTTAATTAATTTACATTTAACTAATATTATTGTTAAATATTATCTCATTAATAATTCACAATAATAATTCACACTAAACTAAATAATAATAAAGTTTCAATCCTAGCTATATTATGCATCACATTAACAATAATTGCTAATAAACAATAATTGGTGATAATAACCTAAGCTAGCTAACTTAATTAAATCACTACAAGTCACTAATTAATTAATCTATAATAAGCTAGCTAATACTTAAATCACTACACATCCTAAATTATGCATTAATAACAATAATTGCTAATAAACAAACCGACATAATTTTTCAATTAACTAATTAATATTTATATTTAAATTTAACTAATTAAACTCTACAAAAAAGGATTGAATTAGGCACTTAAATCAGGCACCTAAAGCCCTAGTGACTATACTCACCAGCTTTGTCACTTGAATTGGAGTGACTAAATTGAAAGTATTTGTCACCACTTTTATCACCTAAACACTTGGTGAGAAAACCACTTTTGTCACCTAAACACTTGGTGAGAAAAAAGGACCGATTCTAGCGTGATTTGTTCCAACCGTGCGCAAGTTTAGTGAAGCCAGCTAGCGGAATTTATCTGTTATCCAAAGTTTAGGGTCATTTGAATTTTATTTTTGTGTATATATATTACATTAATTCCTATACTTTTACATAAGTGATTTCTCCAATTCTCCTTAGCTTCTAACTTCTCTATTTTCCCCCATGTTCAAGCACTCTAGTGCTTTACACTAGAAAAGAAGTTAGTACTATACCGTCCAAATATTAACTCTGCAGTTGATTAAGGAAGAAGATATGTGAGATCAAGTTAAGGAACAAATTCTTCCACTATTTATGCCATCGTTCGATTCAATTTGGTAAGCGTTTCCATAAAGCTTGTACAATTTTTAGAAAATGTTAATATTTGTAATTTCATTTTTCATTTAAAAATTTTCCTTTGTTGAATTAAATGTAATTGTAAGTTACAATATAACGTGTGTCACTGCAATTACTCAAATAATAATGTTGATTAAATATGGAAATTTAGGAGTAATAATAATATCATGATTAGAAAGTTGTTTCCTTATAAAGTGAGAAATCACTTTTCTTTTGAAATGTACAAAATGAACTCTTATGTTGTAGCAGTTACAATGTTGATTGTATCGGATTGTTAAATATTTATTTACTTACTTCTTTAAAATTGATGTGATGAGAAATAAAAAGTATTTGGACTTAAAAATACATACATAACTTGTTGCTAAATTAATGTCAATTATCTATTAACAGTTTTATTAATGAGTACGTAGTAGTTGATCGGAGAATAATGATATTAGAAGGGGGATAACAAACATTTAATATTACATTTCTAATGATTTTTTAATTAAATGTCAATCTAAAAATATCAAGAATTTCAAAAATTGATATGCCATACGTTGTACAAAATTGTTGCCACATAAGACCAATTTAAATCTACTTTTCAAATAATGTCAATATTTTTTTTGAATGAAACATAATGTCAATTTTAATTAATGTAGTTATACTAGCAAAAGAATAGGATTGATTTATGTACAAAAAAAGACTTATATAACTACACACATATATATACCGTTTAATTTTCCTTTAGAATTAACTTAAAGAACTAAATAATGTGCTCTATGTGATGTTGGGTCTATTAATATAGTAGACTAAATATTTATATTAAAATGGATACTGTCATGTGTAATCAAAACCATAATATTGGATTGATTGGATTTTTACAATATCAATATCATATCATCAGATATATGTATATGTGTATACTGTTGTAAAAATGTAATCCGACTGCTAAAATGTTTAAATCATAAACAACATGCTTGAAAGCGCCATTGAGTAATAATAATAATAATAATAATAATAATAATAATAATAATAATAATAATAGTAATAGTAATAGTAATAGTAGTAATAGTAGTAATAGTAGTAATAGTAATAATAGTAATAATAACAGTAATAATAATAATATTAATAATAATAATAATAACAATAACAACAACAACAATAATAATAATATTAGTAATAATAGTAATATTAGTAATATTAGTTTTAATAGTAATAACAATAATAATAATAATAGTAGTAGTAGTAATAGTAATAATAGTAGTAATAGTAATAATAGTAATAATAGTAATAATAGTTATAATAACAATAACAAAAATAACAATAACAATAATAATGACAATAACAATAATAATGACAATAACAATCACAATAACAATAACAACAACAACAAGAATAATAATAATAATAGAGATAATAATAATAATAATAATAAATTACAACCACTGTATCCGCTCGTGATTGTAAATATGCGTTTTAGATTATTTTGTTACAAATACAATAAGAAATTAAAATTTTAATACAATATTACTTAGTTAATTTTCATTGATATTTAAGCATAGAATATATGTATTGCAGCTACAATGTACAAACATGCTAGGAGTTGGATGTATGACAACCACTTAGAAAATAAAGATTCGTCTATTACGTTAATAGTTTAATACTCCCTCCGTTCCCATTTTATCTTCCATTTCCCATTGGCACACAATTTAAGAAAACTAGGTATTGTGTGGTGGAGAGTTGTGCAGAGGAAAGAGAAATGTGTAAGAAATGTTGTGAACCACAAATTCTTTACCAAAAAGAGAAAGTGGAAGTTTAATTGGAACGGATGAAAAAGGAAAGTTGGAAGATATAATAGGAACGGAGGGAGTAATATATTGTTAATAATATGAAAATTAACATGACCTCACTAAATTACGTTAATAGTTTGAATAAATGAACAACTAACCTCACTAATTAAGCTAATAATTAATTTATTACACAACTAAAAGAAATTAGTTAAAATGACATACCTTATCTGCATAAACTGGGAAAATGATGAACTGACGGATTACATCATTCAATCTTTAAACTGATACTACATCACTCGAATCTACAAATGTTTGAACTGATAAGTGTTGTTCATGCAAATGTAATGGACGATGGGGTTGAGTTATATAAAAAAATTTATCACGGATTTGTCACGGATTTATCCGTGACAAACCTTTTTTCGTACTGTATTATTAAAGGTTACCGCTGGAAAATCAATAATTGAAGTTTGTCACGGATTTTGTCACGGATGGATCCGTGACAAAGTTATTTTGAAATTTGTCACGGATTTGTCACGGACCTGTCCGTGACAAATGCCCGGAAGCAAAAAAAGTATTCACCAGGGTAAAAAACCGGTCGCCGGAGTAAATTTGTCACGGACAATATCCGTGACAAAATATTGTCATGGATTTTGTCACGGATTGGTCCGTGACAACACATTTAAGTACAATTCTAGGCATAGGTTGCTTAGGAATTGGGTCTATGCCATGGCACAGCGATGTATTTAAGTACAAATCTAGAAGTGCATGGGTAGACAAGGGGTTGTGAATGATGACATGCATGGTGATGTACTTGAGTTGAACTCTAGAAATGCATGATGAGATTGAAGGTTGTAACCTATGATGTGCATGGTGATGTACTTGAGTAGAACTCTAGAAAATGCACGGTGAAGTAATTGACTTGTGTAATGTGATTTGCATGGTGATGTACTTGAGTCGGACTCTACATATGCAAACATATGTGTTAGGGTTGGACCCTATAAATTGTCGTGATCGGTAGTCACAGTGTATTGGGTTGATGTTTTGTAAACAAAACTTGGGCCTACGGGTCGACTACTTGACTTTATATAAAGTAAGTATATTTTGAAAAGGGGTAACTTAAGGTTACGGCTTAGATTATATTATCACTCTATTTGAGGGTCTTGTGTTTGAAATACTTGTTGTATATCTATTAGATGTCATACTTGTTGAAATTTGTCACGGATTTGTCACGGACCTGTCCGTGACAAATGCCCGGAAGCAAAAAAAGTATTCACCGGAGTAAAAAACCGGTCGCCGGAGTAAATTTGTCACGGACAATATCCGTGACAACACATTTTCGTGACAAATCCCAATATTCCGTGACAAAGTCCGTGACAACTTTGTCACGGCCGTAATCTGTGACAAAAATCCGTGACAAAGAGCGAGTTTTTTTGTAGTGGAACATACATAACGCAATTTAGACTTTGTTTAGCACCCGTGAGGATTTATAATTTTTTGTTTTATGAGTTTAGAAGTTGTATCAATATTGATCATTAATTGTTTGATAAATTGGTTGGATCGGAATTAGAAGTAGAAATGTATACTACTTTAAAAGTTTAATCACGTATTTTGAAAAGTAGGCACTACTCTATAATTGACTTAGCTTTCAAAAGTGAAGAAGTATTTTGTTTCCATTTTATATTATATATTTGAATTGACGACAAAAGATAAGCATACACTACCAGGAATATGTGTTCGGTGTGGTGTAATTATGGCATTATTGAAGATTATATTCTTCATTTTAGGAGTGAATATATTTGAGAATATTACTCGAAATAGGACTAAAACAATTTGAAAATTTCAAAATAGGACTCTCATGTTTTTATTCTTAAAATAGGACTAATTACTGACATTTTTGGTAGTACCAGACTTCAAACATTGCGGTATTTTCTAAACATGGCAGTAATTAGTTCTCTTTGGGGAATAAAATACATGAAAGTCCTATTTTAGAATATTCAAAGTGTTTTGGTCTTATTTTGGGAACTTTGCCGCATATATTTGTATGTGTACCTCCAATTATTATAGTATCCATACAATTGGCTATTATAAATAGCATGTAGATTCTTGGCATTAGGCGCACACAAATGAAGCCGGCCGCCTAGCTTGAAACAAACGTACTATAACTCACTCTTTTCTTAGTTTCTTCTAGCTTTCCGGAGCTGATAAATTTGCCATGGCGGCTAAGCTCCAACTCCGCCACTTCTCACTTGTTGTGCTCATTATTGTCTCCGCTCTCCCCCGTCCCAACTTCGCTGACGATCATTTGTCGGAGATTTTCTACTGCCCGACATGCCCGAAGGCGCTTTCCATCATCAAAGCCGCCGTCGTCAAAGCCGTGAAGTCGGAGGCTCGGATGGGAGCATCTTTGCTTCGCCTCCATTTCCATGACTGCTTCGTCAATGCAAGTCTCTTAGCTTCTTCTTCTTTAATTATTTTTTCTTTTTTTTTTTTGTATAATGCTTTTATTTTTTACTCTACCCTTTGCTTTTAATTGCCTAAAAAGGTTCTTGATTATACAAAATACTCTAGTTCCACAATAACTAGCATACACTCAGTATTCCTTTTCGGAAAGTTTTGTGTTCTTTCACTAAATAGTTTTTCAAATACTTTTTTATCTTTCTTTCTCAAATTTCATTTTTATATTCTCTTTCTTTGCCTAATATTTTTACTCATTTTCTCTTTCCTACTTTTTCTTCATCTTTTATTTCCTAATTTTCTAGTATAATTATTGCAATCACTGTTTTGTTTTTTAACGTGTGGGTAATTATTATAATGCGTACAAAGTATATAAAAAGTGACATCCAGAGAGAAAAGAAGATTAAAATTTTGGGAAAGATGAAGAAAGTAAAATTAATTTAAACGATAGAGAGTAGACAAAATGAAGTAAGCATTGATAAACTATTAAAGAAACAAGTTTGACTTGGTAAATTGAAGAATGAAGGTGAGTACTTGTGTGAGAAAAATCCACTAGGCGAGCTTATTGTGTCAAGTCAATTTTGAATTTCACCCAAATTATACTACGTATTTCAATCCTCAAAATATTTTAGCAGCCCTAGCTCATTAATATTAATGTATTATTATGCATTACAACCAATTAATTTCATTGGTCACATCAAGTTAGCAAATTAGTTTTGATGAAGATAATGTTATCTTTAAAGGCAAATCAACCTTATGTTGAAGTTACTAGAAGTAAAACATTAGTATAGTCTTGAAATAAAACTAATTAAGTATGTTATTTTATTTTATCCAAAAAAAATCTATTTAGTTTGATTAAAATTATAAAAAGGAGATATTTTTAATTAGTACCTAAACATACGCAAAATAAGACCGTCAATGTTTTCTTGTTAAAGTATGACCAATATGCTTCTATATGAGAAAGTTTTATACTTTTGATAAGACCAAATAAGTCATGATTTGAGAATAAAATGAAATTACTCTTATGCGAGCTTTTTCTCTAGCTAATTCTAGTCCTATTTGTTCAAAATACGAGTGCACAGAGTTATATTTGGAAAACAAACAAGAATAATGTTATTTGAGAAAATTAGCATGTTTAACTCGTATTTACTCCCCCGTCCCATTAAATTCTTCAAACTTTTCTTTTTGGGTCGTCCTTAAAAATTCTTTCAACTTCACTTTCGTAAAAAATATGTGGTTCACATTCATTCATCTTTTTCTTACACAACTACAATCATACATTTCCACTTTATTCTCGTTTTCTAAATTTGCGAGCCAAGTTTGACGTGGAAGAATTTATTGGGACGGAGGTAGTCTTAATCTTCTTAATACGTACAAGGACGAAATTAACAAAAAGAGTTAAATCTTTTTAATCATTATTATGATACATTATATAAGGACGAAATTATTCATCCATGTGCTAAATTGCTAATACGTACAAATAAATATCAACCTTAGACTGATCAATAGGCTAATATCAAGTCTATACTAGTTGGTCTCACTAATTAAATTTGTATCCGCGCTAATAACGACACTCTTCCTAGCTAGCTACTTGTCACTCACCTTCCATTAAGAAAAAGAATGTATGTTATTTAGCTGATAAATAAGTTTATTGTGAGACTCATTCGCAAAAAAAAAAAAAAATCATCTTGAATTCATTACGTCACAATTAAGTCGCAATTAAAAGCTCATCAATAAATATATGAGTCCAATTCGTGTGCATTTTGCGAAAAGCGAAATTTTAGTTTAGTGGCGAAAAAAATAATCACTTATTTGCACATGATACTTTGAGAAAGAATAAAGTAATTATCATTGGTAATTAAAGTAACCATTTCATTAATAATAAGGCCGCTAGCTAGCTAGCCTTTGCTAATCACGCACTAAACGCAGAAAATATAATGGGGCATTCGGGACAATATAATTAAGCTAACTTCTGCAGGCCTATCTATATATAGCTAGAGATGTTTTATGCATGTGTAATATTACATGATATATAATTAATAAGTATTGTTTGAATATCAATAATAGAAAAAACATAATGGGGCCAATATAATAAGCTAGATTCCTGCTAGTCAGCGAGGTTATTTAATTAGATCGATGTAATAATATGCTTACTAGTTTATACATAATACACTACCTAATACCCGTCCAGTTGCAAATTAAACCAACGTGAAATTTAATGTTCTTATAAATTACTTCATCCGTCTCATTTTAATTGCAACAGTCAACATTTCACGTTTGCGAACGCACAACTTTAACCTTCATTATATTTAATTCTGTATTAGTCAAAATTAAATAAAAATCAGATTATAAAACTTACTAATGAGACGAATTTAACAATAATTTTCAAAAAAAAAAATTCAAATACATTAATAAATAAAATGTAGTCAAAGTAAAGTCGTGAATAGTGCATATATTTCAATGTTTAAATTAATGCAATAAGGAGGATAGTATATTACTGTTGGAGGTGAATATATGTTGCAGGGATGTGACGCTTCAATATTACTAGACGATACGCCAAATTTCCCCGGAGAGCAAACGGCGGTGCCGAATAACAACTCAATTAGAGGTCTGAACGTTATAGACGATATTAAAGCTGAGCTGGAGAAAGCTTGCCCTAATACTGTTTCTTGTGCTGATATTGTTGCCGTTGCAGCCAGAGATGGCGTTGTTGCTGTAAGTACAAAAGAAATTCACGTTTTCCATTTCCAAACTTTACATCTTTTTTTTAGTGGCCCAATGATATTAATTACTGTCTAATTAACAACTTTAAAAGTACATTAATTATCTCTTATTTAAGTAAATCAGGCCAAATAGTTTGTTTTTAAAACACTGTGCCCTATTAAACAGTTTAAGGACGAATATAATTTAATAAATGGAAAAAATGGTATCAAGATTTCATGGGCGTCGTTAATATACGTAATTTGATCAATTACACTTTGCATTATGTATATTTCAACTTTCAAGATATATACGTTAGGTATTACACTTTGTCCCGTTACGTTTGCTTTTCACGGAATTTAGGACGATAACCGTATACTTTATAAAAATTAAGAAGTTTTTGGTATTGTGAAGATATTATAGCAGTACTGTAGTTGCTTTTTTGAGTGAGTTTCTTTTCAAAAAACAAAATCAGACAATTAATTTGATACACAAAAAAGGAAAGTAGGAGGACTAATTGGTGAAACATATTCATTTGCTATTTTCATCCTCGTGAAGAAGACACCACATGCAAAATCTTCCATAAAATGGTATAATGCTTTCATTCACTTGAAATGAGTAGTATCAAATGAAAACGGATTATATTGGATGAGATCAAGTTTAATTAAAAATTAAAATAGATCGGCCAAGACTAGGACATTAGTAAATTAGTAGTTCGAGTAGCTAGACTAGAATAAGACAACACTTAAACATAACAAAGCAGAATTAATTAGAGAGAATTCCTTAAATAGGAGTACAAAAGTTTTGAAATTCAAAAATAAGAGTATCATGTTTTTTATTCCTTGAATAGGAGTAAATTTCTGCCAAGTTTGGCATTACTCGGCTTTAAAACATGACATTTTTTTCCAAACATGGCAGAATACTCCTATTCAGGGAACAAAAAACATGATACTCATATTTTGAAATTTCAAAACGTTTTTGCTCCTACTTAGAGCAATTTCTAAAATAATTAATGAAAATATACACCTTATATTAGATGAGAACAGATAAATTGAGCCCAAAAGTTTTGGAGTGGCGTCGTCGTTGGGATGATCAATCATTAAGTTGCATGTGCTTATAGCACGTTCTCTGGATTTGAATCTTGGTAATTAGGCCGAGTACGTGACAATTATTGTTTAGTAAGATTTTTTTTTGTACATATCTGCTCACTCCTTATCAATCATAGTTTAAACTATTCAATTAGCGGCCTGACTCGTCCGACAAGTAAAATGTACAAGTATTGAATTGAGACAATGAGACCCTCCGACCTAGCTCCGTGATTATATATACTCTCCCTCCCGCAAAATAGTTCACGGATTTTTTAGGCCGTTTCAAAAAAATAGTTCTGATTTTGAAATGTTTTATGTGTCTCACATTCATTTACTTTTTTCTTACTAAACCACAACTATACATTTTCACTTTATTTTGACTTTCTTAAATTTTGATCAAGTCAATGCAGGAAATATTTTATGGGACGGATGGAGTATGTGTTTTTTCATGATATGCGAAAACAAATTAAGATATATAGGTAAATCTGTAATGGTAGTTTTTAAATTAAAAAGTAGATCGAATAGATGTAACACGTCAGACAGGTAGCTTAGAGAATGGGACTTTATTCACGAATGGGTAAAGCTAGTGTTTAGATATATCTTCCATGGTTACATCCAAATATATTCTGATATAAGATGTTTCCATCCGGTGTTCAACACTGCAAAAAAAATTATGAGATTGACACGGATTAAACATGAATTTATTGATGATTTCGTGTGAAATAGCTCGTGTCAAACTGTTTTTGATATATCTCTGTCAAAATCACCTGCAAATTTTGGGGAATCCCCACCAAAAATACACGTTAATCTCATGTTATTTATAATGTCAGATTTAATTAATCTTACGTACTCGATTGACACACTACAACAATTCTTTATAAAAATCACCTAGAAAATTAGTTTAATATATTGAGGGTGAATTGACAAAAATTATTTAAAAAAAGTTTTTTTCAAAAATATTACTTAAATAAAGCATAATAAAAAAAAGACTAATTAACCGTAAAGTGACTAAAGTGACTACTATAGTCACTATACTTAAAATCATATTTTTATAAAATCTATAGTACTATAGTACTATGCCTAATTAAGTGTAAAACTTGAATATAAATTACTGTGACTAAAGTGACTACTATAGTCACTATACTTAAAAATCATATTTTTATAAATAATCTTTCTTTTAATCATAAATATGTAATTATCTCTTATATAAAAGAAACTTTGATCTAACAAAATATTAGGTATAGTATAAGATATATACATTGAAAATGTAAAACATATGTTAAGTTGCATATATTTAATTCTATAATACGAGTATCATTTTTAGCTTTTGTAATTTTTATATTGGATGTATTAAATTATTTTTTTGTAAAAATTGTATAGAAATTAGAATTTAAGATCAATATGTACCTTCATAGAAATAATGTTAGATATATTACTCCGTATAGTATTTGCATTTGAATGAACGTAAAGGACCAATCAACAAATCAATATATATACAGAGTAATTATATTGAAATCAGTAATTAGAGTGGGAGTATTTTAAGAATAAGTATCCATAATATATCTAAGACATAGTAATTGGAGTGGGAGTATACAATCATCCAAACTTGTTGTTAAGACATGGTAATAGAAGAAGTAGCGCATGTCTTAATATATTACTTTGCTGATTCAAACTTTCCTATGAATTGAACTATTGAAGTGTAGTTATGCATCATTTATTTCTTCATCTGTATTATGTGTGACGTACTCTTCAGGAATTCAAACTTACTTGTCAAAGCCTATCAATTTACGTAGTATTATTATGAAAATAAATTAGGAAAGTGATGCTTATAGACGACAGCCAATTACGTGATTGACTTGATTTGATGATGGAATGATGCATTATTGCATTCACCATCACACACAAAAAAAGGTTATGTGATATACACCCTTGAAAAAAAGTTAGTGTAATACTTCGGAGTCCGCTCCGGAAAAAGAGAAAGATGTTTGGGATTTAAAGGAAAGGAAGAAAAATCTTAGAGACAAGGAGTAGAGTACTTATTGTTTCTGGTTATTTGTCTCGATCAAATCCTTCTTATTCTACTCTTTTAATTTATCCATTTGTCTAACTTAATCGTGTAGATAATAAGTTTTAATCTATTGTTTAAACACTACAAATTTAGGTCTTTTAGGGATGAAAATCTTTTTTGAAAGAAAAATGACTATATTGATATCATTAGAGTCAGGTTGTTATCCCTTTATCTTCTTCCTTCAACACCTTGATCTGTCCGTGATTCGTCCAACATACCGCACGAGCACGATCTGTCCAAATGCGACCAGTCTCCAGATCCCTATCATCTCCCCTGTGTTGCAATTGAGATTCGCCAAGACCCTCCAATCCCGAATGCTCCCAACCCCACCCTGTGCTCCAAATGAGGAAAACTAGCAAAGCTCCGGGACACTGAAGCACCAAAAAAGTTATAGCGCCGCCCGTCAAAAACATAGACTTGCTAGGATCGCCGCCGCCGTGAACCTAAGCCCTTCACCGCTCCAAAGCGATGAGGGAAATCCTGGGACACAAGCTTGAATTCCAATCACTTTATATGGCTAAGGTTCTCATCACTGCGGATACAGTTCTAGTTAGTGCAGCCAGGCATCCAACTTTAAAAAATGATTATATTTTTATCTTATTAACTCATGATTTTAAAGAACTAAATTGAACTAGTACACTGGGTTAACAAAATAAAGCCAAACAGTTTGCACTAAAAAACTAGGTTACTTCAAGATTCAATTCATCATAGTCATAATTTAGATCTGCCCCTCATTAGCATTTAAAAAAAATCAACTTCAATGCTTCTAGCAAACATTTCTTTGAAAACTGCTTCTAGCAAACATATGTACCGTAAATGTGTAATAATGGATCGAAATATATAGATCTCATATGTTCTTCAATAGTTACAATAATTAAACTCTTACACTATTTACACTCTGCTTTGACTGCATTATACTACATTATACATAATTTCCTTTTTAGATGTGTTTAAAAGTTTGTTACATTTTTCCTTTTTCATAAATTTTTCCTTTAAAAATATTCAATTACTCTTTTATACTTTTTCACCATCTTTTCTATATTTCTACACTATTCACTATCGTTATTATTCCATCTTTAAATAATGTGCTCAAATCTATGGTTTTTTTTTGAACGAGTGCTCAAATCTATCGTAGTGAACTTTTAAATACAAACGTAGTATTATATTATAAAAATAATATGAAATTTATAACAAGTAAAAGTTGTAAAGTAATATTTATTACTCCATACTCCCTATTATTTTTACTAATAGGCAATTGAACATATTGATAGTCAAAGTTGTATGTTGTTGATTTGAAATTTATATTGTGGCAAGTAAATAAGAGGAAGTATATACTGTATGCATGAGCTTATTTAGTGAATTTATTTTTCACTACTCCGTATATCATACGAGTATTTATGAATGTTTTACAAAGTGTAAAAGAATAGCTTTACATTTTATTTATTAAAACTTCCACCAAACTCACATGTATCTTATACTACCTCCGTTCCTTAAAACTTTGCCAAAGTTGATCGGCACGAAGAATAATAAAGTAAAACTGTGTGATTGAGATTTGTGTAGAAGAGAAAGAAATAACAAAAACCACAAAATAATTGATTAAAAGGGAAAGTGGCAATCAAATATATTCATAGTCAATATTGTATATTTATTTACGAGAAATAAAATCATGTTCAGCTAGGGGGGCCTACCTGGAATGTTTCACTAGGCAGAAGGGACTCAACGACGGCAAGTCAAGCAGCTGCTAATCGCGATGTTCCTGCACCGACACTTTCTCTCAATCAGCTCCAATCTCTCTTCTCCAGAAAGGGCTTTACCGCCAGGGAGTTGGTTGTACTCTCAGGTTCTTCTTTTTATTGCCTTTTCTTATCTTCCCTTGCATTTTCTCTCCCTATTTTTAAACTTTCAAATACAAATTGTTTTAAATAAGGACAACTATCAAATAAATCCTTGAACTTTCATAAAAAGTGCAAATAAGCCCTTTTACAGGAGGCTCTGTCCGGCCGTCGCCATTTGGGACAGTTTCCATTGGAATTTTTTGAGGAAAGTTTTTGAGCATCTTCTTCATTAAGTCTAGTTTACTCATACCAAATATCAGCTAAAAATTAAACCGGGAAGACAGTCAAATGAATTTTTGAAGATAACTACGCAGTTAGGCAGCGTAGTATATTTTAGAAAATCATTTCACTGCCTTCTCGATTGAATTTTTAGTTGAAGTTTAGTATGGGTAAACTAGACTTAATGAAGAAGATACTCAAAATAAAAATGTCATCAAAAAATTCCACCGGAAACCACCTCAAATGGCAACATCCAGACAAAGCCTCCTGTAAAGGGGCTTATTTGCACTTTTTATGAAAGTTCGAGGGCTTATTTGATAGTTCTCCCTTTTAAATATGACTAACATTTAGATAAAGTGTACGAATATGACTATATGAATTTTAATATAGCGTACAAATGTGACTATTAATTGATCTTATTAAACGTATGAAACATCCGCTATTAGGAATGAAGATGGTCCTATATAAAAGATGGTCCTATATATGTACATTTTGTCTGTGTTTTAGCATTATAAAAGGAATTTTCTCGAAGCGTATTAGATCTTCTCCAATGCCACAATGTGCACGGTGCACATGTGGCATAAGAGAAATAGACACAAATATTAGTAAGCAAAATAAATTTCTCCTTGTTTGATCGGTCTCACATGTTTTTGATAAGTTTTTCTTTACAATGTCAAAAAAGTCTAGTTGTGGACATTGTGGTTGACATTATTATCAAAATTGTGTAAAACCGGGAAAAGAATGAGAGATAAATGTCAATGATTTATGTTTACGTGTCTATCTTTTTCATTCAACATGTGCATTTTTTTCCTGTCATCTCATTATCACTGCACCATATCAACTTATCCACATCATCCTAGCAATTCTATGTCCACCAATTTTTAGAGTTTGAATGTTGTTCTAAAATATACAAAATTCTCAAGCATATAAGGGGGCCCCAATGATTTGAACCTGGGTCAAACATAAGGGGGGAAAAGTTCTCAAGCATCATGAATCACTACACTCTATGAAGCACGGATACTTCCCTAGGGTAGCGTATCAGCGTATCGGATACGTTCCCGTATCCGATACTCTAGGATACCCGTACCGTACGTTCCCGGGCCGTATCTGTAATTTTTAAAAGTTTCCATTTTTTTTTGTAATTTTTTGAAAGTTTCCGATACTCGTATCCTGACGGATACCCGTATCATTGGCAGTTTTTTTGGAAGATGATATTATTCCTGGAAATTAATACTTCCAGTGAAAATATGTATTAGATGTTAGAGCTTTTAAAATATTGTTTTCTATCTTAATTATTTTAGAACTTTGGTACTTGCCCTTTTAATTTTAAGATTGTAGTTGTTTGACTTATTTCTCATTTTAAATTAATGACTTATCGACTTCATGTCTACATTTATATTTCGAGATGCACTAATGTATATGAGAAATATTATGATGTATATGTAATGAATGGGTATATATGTATATTTTTTGTATACATAAAATATTTTTTAATATTTTATATTAAAAAATCTATTTGTAAATACAAAAAATTTATATGTATATATTTCCAAAAAATTATTATTTTTTGTATATTTCATAGGATATTATATGTATATATTTCCAAAAAAAATCTATTTTTAATATTTATAAATACACCCCTATAACTTTTAATATTTGTAAATACACCCCCATAACTTTTAATATTTAAAAATATGACCCCGTATCCGTATCCTACTTTTTTTTGTTTTGCCGTATCCCCGTACCCGTGTCCGCGTTTCCGCGATTCCGCGTACCGGTATCGGTGCTACATAGACTACACTACACTGATCACTTGCAATATTGATGCTTTTTACGATATCTAAATCAAATCCTTAAGTTCCGGAGTGCACTATCTCTTAATCACATGTATTCGTTCTAAACAATGAATATTTGGGTTAAGTTTTGACAAAAACACCTCATAAAAGGTATATTCATGATATTTTATATTTTAATAGGCTACTTTATATCATTGGTGTCAAACATATACACTCAAACAATGTCAAAATTAGAATTTCAGTATAAAAGATTGATATGATAGAAAGTGTAGCTAAGTTTATATATCTTACCTTAATGTTTTATAAATAAAAAAAAGGATGACACTCCATCCCTGGGGTCCCCCAATCCCGACCGGACGGTACGTTAGGAGGATGTAAATTGGACTATAATCCCAATCTGACACATAGAGAGTGCGACTCTGTCCCCGGTACTTGCAGAGGTCCTATGCATTTTAGCATAGTAACCCCTCATCGCAGTTGCCTGGATTTGAACCAGGAACCAAACCCTTGCATCGCTCCCTTGCTATCAATTGAGCTACGCCCACCGGTACTTTAATATTTTATAAAGATTATTGGGAACATTAAATATACTTTAATTTCCAGGAGGTCACACGATAGGAAAGGCGAGGTGCACCACATTTCGCAACCGGATCTACAACGACAAAGACATCAACGCCGCATTCGCAACATCGTTACAAGCGAAATGCCCCAAGAGTGGAGGTGACAACAACGTCGTCCAAATGGACCCCACCCCCACCTCATTTGACACGGCTTACTTCACGGATTTGCAGAGCCAGAAGGGGCTGTTCCACTCTGACCAGCAGCTGTTTCACGGCGGAGCCACCGACTCCATTGTCAACGCTTATGCCGCGAGTCTGTCAAGCTTCGCCCACGACTTCGCTAAGGCTATGGTCAAAATGGGTAAACTCAGTCCACTCACTGGTACTAAGGGTCAGATCAGAAAGAATTGTGGAAAAGTCAACTCGTGATTTTGGATAATACGGTCGATTGAATTGGGACATAACCATTCATTTCATATGTTTAGTGTGCAGCAAGGGAATATATAAACAAAAAAGGGACGGGATTAGCATGAATATTTGGCAAGAATCAGCTAAAATATATAGGGGATTTGGTACCGGTACACCAAACCCTGCTAATTACATTTTGTCGCGAGTTATTTGACATGAAACGGTCAATAAATACGTGTCAAATCTGTTTCTATCTCTATCCCGTTATTTTTCAGTGTTATATTTGTGATGAATGATGTAAATTATAAGTAATTGTGTAATAAAGCAGTTTCATCACGGGGAGTAGGTGATGTGTGTGGGACTAAAATAATGTTCCCATATTTGCTGTTGTTATTGAATATGTAATTTGTTGCTGTATAACTCAATCATACTTCTCATTTGTATTGAAATTCTGAATCTGAATCAATGAATTAAGTTAATTCCACCGTCAAACCTGGTATGCATTTTTATACTCCCCGTCCTTTAAAACTTTGCCAAGTTTGACCGGCACATAGATTAATAAAGTAAAAACTGTGTGATTGAGGTTTGTGCAGAAGAGAGAATTAACTGGAACCACAAATTCTTTACTTAAAAGGGAAAATGACAAAGTTAGTGCGACATCCAAAAAATGAAAGTTGACAAAGTTTTAATAAAGTTTGTGTATTTGAGTGACACAATAGTGCAGTAGTAAATTGTACCGATGCATATGAGTGAGCAAAATATGCAAATGCAAATATAATGTTAAGAGGTAAAGTATACTGAACATATGAAAACCATGAATGTGCAACTGAGAGTCATTCATTGTGCAAAAAGTGAAAAAACAAGTGCAAATGTGCATTTGAATGATATAGTAGTGCTAGAATTGTGCATAAAGTGTGTTGTTAGTTTCTTTTTTAGGATTCAGGTAGTTTGCAATCATTTGCACTAGAATATAATAATGTAATAGGGATTAAGATATTATGCTAATTTCATATGAAAAATATAAAATTGATGTACTAGGGATTAATAAAATGAAAATCAATATGAAGATAAAACAAAATAAGAATGAGAGACATTAATTAAAATGGAGAAGAAAGACACAACAAAAACTAAAAGAAGGAAATGATTTTGTTTCCTTGTCTTTCGTAGACTCGTACTCTCATAGTGTGGAGAATAAATATCATGGTGGCGTTTCTAAGTGTGGAGAAGAACACGCACTCATGGACCATGGAGAAATCTCAGTGTGGAGAAGAAATCTCTTGAGAGAAAGGGTCTCTCATGCTTGTTCTACACCCATGGAGAAGAAAGACACAACAAAATAAGAATGAAAATCTCTTTTACTACTGTTGAACGGACCAAGCGAATAACAAGTGTATCCGTCGATCAATTCTAGTAAAATTAATATGAAAACATTAACTAATTGATCATTTTAAATGCTCAAATACTATTAACATGGAATATGAATAATTAAGGAAGTAGTTAATATTCAAACGAGAGAAAAAAAGCAAAAGAGAATGCTTGAAGAAAATAAATTACAACTTACAAAACATAAGTTTCATTGTAGTAAAATCAAGATAAAAAATCAAGAATAAACTATCTATGATAAAAGGGATTGATTGATATGCAAAATGGGAAGGAAATAGTTGTTTTTATAGGGAAAATGTGGTGATTGGGTCGCATACCCCGACCGGGTATCCTTGACAGTAGGTACAAAAGTGCTAAAACCTAGTCATATTAGATCGGGTATGCCAATATACATGATCGGGTATAAGACCAAATCTGATTTTCCCACGTTCTCTTGCTTTGTTTGATCTCATATTATCTCTGGCATGGGTGAAATCATACCCAATCTGGTATTGAATTTACCCAATCGGGTGTGTGACAAAATCGGTTTTTTCACATTTCTTTGTCTCTCGTGGAACTACCTTGTCTCCAAGCTCTTTCCTTATACTCACAAGTGATTTCCTGTTTCATTTCCATCATGACTCCTGCTTAAATGTCAAATCTCTTAATATCTTCTAATTTTACTCTTATTTTAGAAGATAGAGATTACACTGTAATATTTACAAAAGATTAGTAAACACAATGTTAAACCATTCTAAAATGTGGTGTTTATGCACTATTAAATAACACATATCACACGTCATTTCTTCACTTCATCCAACACTCTCTCTCTAAAGTGTTTGTATTTACTTTTGAAATTTTTAAGAATGGATTTCATTGTTGGGCTTTAGCTCCCGCAGCTTGATTACCGCCTCAATCTCGCGGTACATAACATATACAAAAGTATCCAGGCTATTCTACAACTAATGCATCCTACACAATTAATTATAGGATAATACTAGAGTCCTCACCTAGAAAAGTTCTAACTAAAATTTCTTCCTTCTGCAGTTTTCTACTTCTTGGTCCTTTTCTAAATATAACTTAATTAAATGTTAAATTGGATCCAAAATATTAATTAAAAACACATTAAACTCTTTTTTTTGAAAAAACACATTAAACTTTTAACATCCTCCTAAGTCTGATTTTGTAACTATGTGCATTTTTCTCAATCTTCAGATATCTTTATGCTTGTGTGATAATGAGATCTTACGGATGTCACTTCAACATCTTTTCTTTCAAAGCATTCTTGAATGTAGTGATATCGCGCATTAGTGTGCTTGTTTCGGTCGTACAATTCCAGATTCTTTCATAGTGCTATTGCCGACTTATTACCAACATATATCTTTGTAGCTTCGTTTTGTGTCATGCCTATTTCTTCAAATATATTTCAAAGCCATATAGCATGACAAACATATGAATTGGTGTCAACATATTCGGCTTCACGGGAGCTAAAGAATAACAGTAGCTTGATGTTTAGAAATCCAGGTAAAATCTGAATTACCCATAAGAAAGACAAATCCGGTAGTACGTACTCTTAACGATCATTGACATCTTTGGCCCAATCACTATCATGGTAGCCAATAAGTTTAAATATTGGTAAGAATGGTAAAACAAGCAAAAATATAAGAGACCCTTTCATTAGTGTGGCGAAGAACACACACTCATGGTGGCTTTCTAATGAGAAGTTCTTGAATCTTTCTTAAACAGACTAATGAGACCAACTCCATAGAAAATGGCAAGCCTTGTACAAGTCAAGTATCGTAAGATTCAAACTCAGCTCTAGAACACTGTGGTGTTCACTTTTACGTTGTCACCTAACTTGGATAGTTTTACCCCACAATACACCATTGTATCTATTGGAATACAATGGTTCATATTAAACTTCTCAAGAATATTTTTGCATACCCTTCTCGATGGATGAGTATTTTACTTTCAATTTGTTTCACCTCGATCCATTTCCAATGATAAGACATTAAGTCCTTATCGGTCATTTTGGATTTTGACACATTGGTTTTTCTAATTCTCAAATAAATTGAGATTGGTTCTCGTGAATGTCAAATTATCAATATAAATGCAAACAATCGAGATATTATCATTTATTCTCTTTTGACATAATGAACATGCTGATGTGGACACTGTAATTAGGAAGTATCCATCAACTCTAATACACGAAGCTCTCTGCACTTGCTTCAAATAATAAGTTATCTTTTCAATTTTAAAATCTTGTCATCACACCCTATTATTTTATAACTTCGTTGCTGCTCTAAATAAACCTCTTTTCTACCTTTTCATTTAAAAATTCAAATTTCATATCCATTTGAAAAAAATCATTTATTTGAGCCTCCAAAAAATTAAAAATCTTATTGTTTCCAAATGGATTGGGGCTAAAAAAATATCTCTTCATAGTCAATGTCGGCTCTTTGGTTTTACCCTTTTGCAACTAACTATACTTTTTACCTTTCTACCTCTTCCATTGCATTCTTTTTTTCATTAAACATCCATTTTTCACCAATTATTTTGAGCTCTTTTTTGATAAGGTGGCCCATTCCAATGTATCATTTTTTACCATTAACTTCATTTTTTTCATCCATGGCCTCCCTTCAAATCTTGTCATCAGCGGCTTCTTCAAAACTTGTTGGTTCACAATCATCAAGAAGACAACACCATGTTAAGATCATTTATATTTTTTGGTTACTTCATATAGAACTTGTATGCTCCTTAATTGTGATGGCCTTTCATTTGAGTTATCTTCACACTGGGATCCTTCTTAATCGAGTGATGATAGAGTTGGACTCGTAGACTCTTCGTAGGCTAGTTATTCCTCCTCCTCTTCTTCGTAGTAAGGCAAAATTGAAAATCATCTTTTATATGAGTTTAATCCCAAGTGTTCATCAAGCTCAACATCTCGGCTAATCTCGAGTTTGCCATTGCTTGCAGGGTTGTATAGTTGGCACTCTTTTGATTTTGTATCTTAACCAATTAAAATAAAATTTATCATCTAATTTATTCTTTTCCTAACCCGGCACATGCATGAGCATAAGTGATACTCTCCAAAACTTTCTAGTGAGAAATTGTAGACCTTCTTTCAATTGATGTCTCTTAAGGAGTCCTTTCGCAAACACTTCAAGATGGAGATCAGTTTGAAAAATAAACTACGCAATCTAAAGCTTCGGTCCAAAATTCTTTTGGAACATTTGTACTTTTAAGCACACTTTGAACCATATTAAGTAGGGCTGGATTCGGTTCGGGTCCCGAACCAATTCGGTATATACCCGAACCGAACCGATAATTCGGTTTACCAAATTATCAGAACCGAAACTGAACCGTACTACAAACACGTACCGATTTTTGGTACCCGATTTTTTCGGTTCGGTTTACCGGAAACCGAAAGAAACCGACAAAAGTGTAATAAATAAGTTTGAACTAACATTCAATTGACCAAAGCCCATTGGAACTTGCCAATATTTGAGCTCGATTAGCACAATGGAAGCCCAGAACGTAACTTAGCTTCCTAGAACATATCTTGGCATTCTACACTAAGGGGACCTTATTTATATTGAAGTTTTGGAGTAGGAAGCTTCTCATTTTCCGGTGTGTGACAAGATTAAAGAGAATAGGAAAAGAAGTTGAAAAAACAAAAAAAAAAACCCAACTGCGGGAATCAACCACGCGACGTAAGGGAGAGGACAAGCGCTGAATAACCAACTCGGCTACTCTTCAAGCACTTTCAAACCATACTCGGTTTAGTATTATGCCTTCATTAAACGTTATTAATTACTATTGTTATTATAAATAACAATTATTATTATTAATATAAAAATGTCGGTTCGGTTTGGTCCAAACCGATATTTTGTGCACATAAACCTAACCCGAACCAATTTTTTTCTGGTCCCGATTATTGGGACCCAATTTCGTTCGGTTCGGTTCGGTTTTTTTCTAAAACGGTTCAATTATTTTCGGTTTTCGGTTTTTCGGTTCAAAATGCCAGCCCTAATATTAAGTAGATATCAATTTTTCCTTTACACAACTTTATTTTGTTGCAAAGTATAAGGAACTGTTCAAGGGGTGTTAAATGCCATTTTGTTCACATTCTTTTTTAATTCTTTTTCAGTGAATTCCCTCCCACGATCGGATCTCATTGATTTTATTTTAAATCCCCTTTCATATTAGACAAAGGTTTTGAATTATTTATTGAAAGTCCCAAAAACGCTGATTTTTTGTTTTAGAAAATAGACCCACAGATTCCTACTAAAATCATCAACAAAAGGAACAAAATTATTATTATTTCCAAAAGAACTTGGTGATAAATCACCGAAATATCGCTAGTGGTATCTAGAGAGAAGCGATACGTAAGTATAGAGAGAGAAAGATATTCATTATATTAATGATTTTGGAACTCTTACATATGCCCCCAAAAGGGGTATTTTTATTAGTAATAAATACTAGATGCATCAAATACACGTACACGTATAAACTAGTCTATGGTTAAAGCCCTGCAAGGTCGTCGAACTTGATGTGTGTCGCCAATGTTGACAACTCAGTAGTGGATGAAGTAATTGAGGCCGGAAAAATTCTAAAGGTACACACTTTTTGGTATACACACTTTTTACACATGTCTGTGTAAGGTTTTTTTTTATGTCTGTACAGACATAACGTATTTTTAAAATACGTTATGTCTGTACAGACATAAAAAAAACCTTACACAGACATGTGTAAAAAGTGTGTACACCAAAAGTGTGTACCTCAAGTCCAACTCTTGAGGCCGAGGGGCAAATTCCCCTTTTCTTTGTTGTTGCTGCTTTGCGCTGCCAACTTATTTCCTTATCTGGCAGAGTACATACCTGGCGCCAAGGGGCCAATACAGATCAAGGTGTCAGTCCGATTTATCCTGGTAATCCTTTGTGTTTTTCTAGGATGATCTATGAAGGTGGACCCTCATCCAGTCAAGAGCATTTGTTCATTAGATTCATTTCTTCAAGGGCTAAAACTCTTGTTAAGGAATTAAATCCAAAAAATGAATAGCAAACAAAGATACGAGTCAAATACTCTATTGGTATACACTTTTGCGAATTTTCAAGCACTATGAAAACTTGGCTTTTTTTTAAGAAGTGGGGAATTTTATTGAAATGAGGAAAGAGTACAGCGCTTGAAAAGGAGAAAATGTACAAAGATGAAATGATAGAAAAGCAAGAAAGAAAGAATAAAAGAAATTAAAATGATCCAAGTCCAAGGGAAATCCTTAGTTTGTGATCTTGTCCGCATGCTATGTCTCCGTTTGTATTTTTGAGATTTCCGGTAAATTTTGAGCTGCGTATTCAGATTGTCTATTGCCAAGCAAGTGTGATGAGTAATAACAGGGATTTATAACAAATCTCTCTGTTGAAGTTAGTGTCCCTTATGTCATCCCGACTGAAAATTGGTGGTCCACGCTCGCTTTCAGAGCTGATGGATCAAAGCTGGCAGAGGCGTCTGAGTGAGCCTCATTCAGTGGTAACTTATATTGTATCTTTGAGGATGGAGACTGCTGATTCTAGGCAAAAGCACCCTGGATTTGAAAATTAAAAATAAGCTGGGAGATTGATGTGACTTGCTCTGCGCCTGCCATAGACTCATGCCCGTCGTGCGTTGGTTCTTCCTGCACTAAATCGGTGAATCCCACAAAATTTGAAAAGATAGCCAAAAATTCAAGCAGCTTGGATTTTTGGGGGCCATTGGAATCATGATGGAACTTCCCTTTTCTTTAGCAATTCTCACAAAGCAACCTAATTTGTTAGAATCTTTAGGAATCGTGATAGGGTCAAATTTCCTTCGCTGCCTAAAATTATGATCAGTACATGTGAGCTCATAGAGAGATCAAATACTTGGTGGAGCCAAATCGATATTGAAGCTAATCATGTGCAGCGTAGATTTTTTTTATCTCAAGAATAACAATTTTTTTGTTTTTGACTCCAAATTTAAAGAATTTAGATTCTATTTTAATTGAGTCAAACCCTTCTTCCCCAATGAAATAAAGTATTCCCTCCGTTCCAAAAACAATTTCTCACTTTCCTTAAATGGATGTCCCAAAATTAACTTCACACTTCTTCCCACTTCCTTATTTGGCAAATTATCTACATCAAAATAGTGACAAACAGTGTCAAACAGTACCAAACAGTGTCCAAACAGTAAAATTTACCCCCCAGTAATTTAATTTCCTTAATATGTGTGCTGGTGAAACTGTGAAGTTGTTTTTGGAACGAAGGGAGTATTTCTAAGTCCTGAACACTTCTGATTCTGCTAGTGTAATTTCTGAAAGAGAAATAATGGCGTTGTTGGTAGAGTTGTTGTCTTCAATTCTACAAGAATTGGGCTTTGTGACCGGAAGGCCCGGTCAATAATGATGGTTTGTATTACATGGAGACTCTTTTCCTTGTCTCCTCTAACTAAATCAGCCCATGTGACGTTGGGTGTGGCCTTCGCTTGTCCGGTTATTAGATGGGCTGAAGGTCCGGTCCAACTGTAGCAGGTCGATCCCATCTTCAGCCTTATCGGCCAGCTCATCCCTGTCAACATGTCGTCCCGGCGCAGAGGTCGCCGGTCTTCTTCTCTGAGTTCCATCCTCTTCACCAGCGATTTGGGTTTTCGAAGGGCTGTCGGATTTCTTTCCCTTTCCGGCGAGAATGGTTGTTCAAGGTCGATGTGCCCCTATCATTGGGAAATTCATTCTGTTTTTTGTTTATTTGTCTTTTGAAACCGTAAAAATCGTGATAGTCACTGTGTGGCCATTGGAATTGTTATGCACATCCAGTAGCTTGAATAGGATAATAATCACCCCCTAAATCTAAACAGCTGAAACGATTAGGCATACCTGCAGTCCAGTCGTGCGCTGAGCGATTAGGAAATTGCAGACGGCTAAATGTGACACAGCACAGAATGTCCTTGAAATTCAATTGAGAAAAGGGTCACATAAGGCCTTCTACTTTTCTCAAATCGTCACATAAGGCCTTCTACTCATAAAAGTGTCACCAACATATATTTACTTTTAAAAAACGACCATATGAGGCATAATGACCGGTTAAAAACCCTCTGATCCCGGTTTCCGCTTACCTGGCACTCATTTTAGTTAATCTTTAATTTTTATTCCACGTCAGTCCCTTATCGTCAATTTTAAAAGGCCACCCACCCACGCTTTTGAGAAGACGCCAGTCCCTTATCGTCAATCTTTGACCAGAAGCTTTCTTCTCAACAAACGTTGGTCTCCCAGAAAAAGCTAGGGTTCATTGCTAAGCTCGGCTCAAGTTCTCCAGGATCGAAATGTCTTCAAGTTCGTTCACCTCGAATTCAAGGATGGGTTCAAACCTCTACTACGAACCTGCTGTGTATTGTAATTGTGGATTAAAAGCACCTTTGTGTGTGGGAAGGGAAAGTGGCCGGAAGTTCTATGGGTGTCAACGATGGAAAGTAAGTTATTGTGAACCAGTTGTATGAAAGTGTTTTTCGTTTTGGAGGATTTTTCTTGAAAATAAATATTTTCTAAAAGTCTAATCTTAGGGGTATTTCATTTGGCAGATTTTTGTGGGTACTGGTTGTTTTTTGAACATTTCCTATTTGGGGGATGATCTACGAAGCATTGTACTGATTTTTTGATTTTATACATAGACACAAGGAGGAGGATGCAAGTTCTTTGCTTGGAAAGAAGAGAGTAATGCTAAATGGGAAAGTTCAGAGTTGAGATGGGAGGAGGGCAGAAAGCTACTTTATCAGTTAAGAGATGAAAATATGAGTGTTGGTCATGAAGTGAGTGAGTTACGAGCTGCACTGCAATCCGAAATTCAAGAAAGGAGGAATTGTATAATGTTGATTACAATTATAATTGTATTTGTTGTGGTAGCAATGGCAATGATGATCTGTGTATTAAAGTAGAATTTCTAAAGAATTTTTATGTAGTTCTTGCAATGGCTATGAAGTAACATTGTATAACAATGTAATTTGTAATTTGAATTTCTAAAAGTCAAGGATTATATATTTAACATTTTTGTTATGATTTGTTTACATACATGTATATGATATGTGCCTTACATAACCAGAGAAGAGGGTGGATATATATATATATATATATATATATATATATATATATATATATATATATATATATATATATATATATATATATATATATATATATATATATATATATATATATCTAACTCTGTCATACAATGCTCCCAAAATTGAAGTTGATCCTTTTAAAGATTCTAAGATTTCAGGGTTATTGGACTACTGCAAACATCTTGGAGGGTTTTCTTGTGTGAAAGAGCTGAGTAAATGGACTAGAGGAGCATTTGTTCCAGGAAACTCAGAGCTAGTTGCTTATGTGTTGCTATCTAGAGTAAATATTGCAGCCAGTTTACCTTATGGGCAGAAAATAGTTTATGACCAAAAAGTATCTAGAATGTCATAAAAAGTAGTCACAAAATCACAAGTTCTAAGAACCATAACCAGGATCAGCCAAGTAGACATGATTTTCATGAAGGTTCTAACTTTTTCAATACAGGTGCATCCATAAATATCATGGCTCCAGAATCATGTTCTCATCTGGTATTACTGCTCAACACATGTTTATGTGCAGTATGTAAGGCCAAGAAGTAATGGCCTCATTTGGGGACACATTCTCCTGCTTTTGAAATTCAACTATAATGTTAATGCCAAAATGAGTTTTAGATTAACATGTTTGGACTGAAATCAGTGACCATTACGCATTGTGCAGAGTACAAATTCTTAGACAGAAAATAACAAACACAAGTGCACCACTAACATAGCAAAAATCAGAAAAGGCAATGTCATTACCTGACAAAAACAAGTACATTAATGTCCTATGACATATATTACTACTAAACACAACTAAATGGCTGCACTAGAGGGTCCTACATCAGGTGGGGTCTTTGGTGCTTTAGTTTCAGTTCTTCTTTTCTTTTTCAGATTAGCAGATGCTTCTTTGACGGCCCTTGTTGTCTTTGCAGGTTCTATGGATGTCTCATGTGTATCTGAGGTCTTATTCGGGCATTTTGCTTTATTATGTCCTGCTTGTTTACATATCGAACAACTCATGACTCTTCCTTTTCTTGAGATCGTTGTCCTTCCTTTTTGAGACCCCAATCCTTCGTTTGGTTCCCGTTTTCTCTTTCTCTTGGGTCTGCCAGACATCTTTTTGGGAATCGGAGGTGCGATATCATTATTTTGTGTCCTAGCCCACAACAACTCCCCGTTCATTGGTTGAAGATGATAAGAATATATTCTCTGGTACACCTCCTTTGAATAGCAAGGGTCGACATAATCCTCCGGATCCTCACCTTTGTCGAAAATTGCACACACAGCGTGTGGGCAAGGAATTCCACTCAATTCCCAAGCTCTACATGAGCAGCTTCTTGCTTCTAGCCTGACTTGATACTGATGGCTCCCACGTTTAACCTCATACCCATCATCACCATTAAAAATGACTTGTTATGAAACATCATCCATTAATAACATATTAAATATATATGATACACCAAGTGAATTCACACACTAACCTTCCAGCCCATGCTTTGATATGTGTTGGCATTTAACTTTTTCAATATTCTAGGTCCATGCCTGGAAGCCCATCCGCTCACAAACTTCACCTTTTTAGCAATCCGCTTCATTGTGGCAGTTCGAATGTCTTCTAACATAGGAATTATTGGCTTGCACCTAGCTTTTCGGATTGTGTTATTAAAAGCTTCCGACAGGTTGTTGTCTAGGATATCACATTTGACTTCAGTTCTGAAATACGCTTTGCACCACTGATGAGGGTCATAGAGTTCCAAATCACACTTTGCTGTAGCATCAACTTTCAACAACGCTTTCATTTGTTCTTCAAAATAAGCTTGAGTTGTGCTTCTGGCACAAAACCAAAAATGTTTTTTCAGCACTTTTCCCCTGTGCTTCTTACTCCAATTTGCATGTATATGCCTACAACAATTTCTATGCTCAGAATTTGGAAAGACTTCCTTTATGACCTTCACTAAGCCTAAGTGGTCAACGAGTTCAGGTTCATCAATCCCGTCCTCCACATACACTTCTACTACATCGTAAATAAATGCCATCTCAATTAGCTGTAGAGTAGTAGCATCATCGCATAATGGCCTTAACCTGTCTAGACTCTCGTCGGGCAATTTAAATAACAGTGAATCCACTTTTTTATACATATCCTCTGTGATGTACTTCATCAAGTGAGGGTATGAAATTCTATCTGGATCTAAAACAATAGTCTCAACATCACCATTTACATATGCAAGATTTGGTATTCTCTTGAAATTTCCTCCATGGTAGATTTTCAACTCAGCTTCTAAAAACATTCTGAAAATGAGAACATTGACAGATTGAGTACTCAAATAGATAACTTCTCAAATAGTTATTTGTAAGAAACTCCATACTTGCAATTTTTTGAGTAACTACACAACTGTTATTTCATGATTGGTAGAGTAACTATTCAAATAGCTAACACAAAACAAAGAGACTCCAAAACAAATTTCAAAATTTGTAAGAAACTTCATACATGCAAGAAAGAACATATAGGAATTGAATGATCCTTTTATAACTTAGAGGTAAAAACAGGGTAATGAAATTTAGGACTTGAGATGCAAATTCTTTAGATACTATAGTAGATTTCACGTTCACAATTTCACCTAAACTATACAAATTTCAATTAATTTTCAAAAACATTCTTAAATAGACTTAAACAAATCAGTGAAATTGAACATAACAAACTGACTTACTTTCCGAAAGCAATCTGTAAATGCAAATGAACGAACCCAGTCACAACCCAAGCAGCGAAACAAAGACCTCACTCTCAATCATCTTCCCCAATCGCGGAATCCATCTTTCTCCAAAACCCTAGTCGCAGTCAGATTGGATGAGCAATCCTCTTATTTTCTTTTACCCGGTATGTCGAGATATGTCTAAGTTATGTTGAGTATTCGGACACGGTGCGGCTGACATGGAAAAAAATGACACATTTGCTAAAATGAGTGCCAGGTAAGCGGAAACCGGGATCAGAGGGTTTTTAACCGGTCATTATGCCTCATATGGTCGTTTTTTAAAAGTAAATATATGTTGGTGACACTTTTATGAGTAGAAGGCCTTATGTGACGATTTGAGAAAAGTAGAAGACCTTATGTGACCCTTTTCTCAAATTCAATTTATACTTCAAAGTTTATGTATTGATTTCCTACCGAACAATCGTAAAACGATTGATGTTTTACGTAATAGTGATGGACTTTCAAATATTTAATTGAGTTATCTTATTAGATATAAAAGCCCAACACTATGTGAATAATGATACATAACCTTTCGATACAAAATAAGAAAGGTCGGGCAATCCAAGTGTTATTTTGAGTCCAACATGCTAAAAATAAAAAGTATTCAAGAATGGCGTCCTACGCCCACTCGAGGGTAGCCCACACGGTTGTAGACCAAGAATATAAATGCAAAAGTCACAAATAAGTGATGTGTTGATTAGAGAAGAATACAAACTCCTATGATCCCACCTTAGACATTATTGAGCTAAATAATGAAAGTATGATTTTGTTCTATAATTATACATCATATAAATTAATGGGATTATCCTACACATATTAGAGACCAATAATATGATGTGGATAGTTGACTTGGTCTAAATAAATTAGAATGAGTACAAAAATACATTTCATGACAAAAGATAAAACAATATGACTCATCTTTGCATTTTTGGAAGTATTGGTAGATATTTTGGACCCCAATTAATTGGGATCAATAGGGGTGTGTCCCATACTTCTTGACACCTGGAAAAAAAAGTGTTAGGAGTAGGAATGGGCGGATGAAAACGAAGGGGAGCTGCACAAGACATGAAGGACATCCAAGAGGGGTCATCAGTCCTATTTACGCACAAAATGAGTGTGATGGTCGTCTCCCCCATAATTGGAGATATAGTCATTCAAATGGGGTGGTTGAGGTGTCCCTGGATAGCCCTTGAAGTCAATTTTTATTATTGCTGCATTACTGGAGAAGAATAGAGATAGAGATAAATGAAAAACGAGTTAGTGTACTTTCGCATATAAACTCGAGCAGTTGGAGTGTTGGTGTTGTTTGCTTCATATCTCGAGCTACACTCGTCCAATAAGGCGTGTTAGGTGTCTACAGAAATCTCTCAAGATACGGAATCCGTGAAGGTGCGTTTTTGCAGAAAATGGAGCAGTCTGAGGCCTCCAAATCGTCGGAATAAAACACAAACTCGCAGAAAACAGATTTGCTTCTTTAAGGTAAGTTTTAACCCAAAATCTTCCTTTTCATTATCTATATGATATGAACGATTGGTGGAACTATTATACACTATTTCAAGTGTGTAATATGTTCTTTATAAGGTTAGTTTATTGATCTAAGGTTAAATACTAACCTAGAACAAACCTTGAAAGGTTAGGAAACGAATTCGCCGAAAAACACCCATTCTAGAGGTTGTTTTCGTACCATTGGTTAAAGGTTGAGATAGTAACTTGAGGAGGCTGCCTAGCATTCATTTCTAAGAAAGGAGGCAGTTATCAACTTGCCTTGCCCGAAGCTTTGACCATTGGATTGAGAAAGAAAAGTTTAAAGCTTATTTGAGGTGAGGATCAACATCTAGTTGCTTACAACTTGTAGATTAAGCATGAGATTACCTAAATGTCTAAATTATGTTTTCATGGAATATAATGCTTAATCATTGATGAAATATTGATATATTTGATAAGGAATGAAATTGGAAATGATTTGTATGTCATATTGATAAAATGGGATTAAATGGGCTATTAATGAACTATTATGAAAAATAGGCATTTTTGCTCATGTGTGAAATGTGTAGATACATAAATGAATATTTATGTATTACATTGGATTCTTAAGTTGCGGCTACATATATCTAAATATGTAGGGATTTACAAACGGAATATTTGTTTTGATAAGAATAATCTTAATAGTATTGAAATACTAGTTAATGATTATTTGTAATTGTTA